TACGGTAACCTCACCTCCCCCTCCACCGCCCGCAAACTGTTCGACGAAATTCCCAACCCAAACACCCACCTATTCAACTCCATCCTCCGATCCCACTCCAAATCCCACCAATGGCATCGATCCCTCCTCCTTTTCCCGCGCATTTCCAAACCCGACCCCTTCACTTTCCCCATCGCCCTCAAATCCTGCGCCAGTCTCGGCGAGCTCGGCCTCGGCCAAGCCATCCACGGGCTCATAATCAAAACCCCGTTTGCTAGCTTGGATAAGTTCGTGGGTGCCGCACTTGTTGAATTTTATTCAAAATGTGGTGTGATGGATGATGCTGTTGTAGTTTTTGATGGGTTCACGAACCCGGATGCTGTGCTGTGCACTTCGGTGGTTACCGGGTTTCAGCGAAATGGCTATGCTGATGAGGCTGTAAAGTTTTTTTCTTTAATGGTGGTTGAGAATGCAGTGATTCCTGATCCTGTGACTGTCATAAGTTTGGTTGCAGCGATTGGGCAATTGGGGGATTTGAGGGCAGCGAAATGCTGTCATGGGTATGTGATTAGAATGAGACTGGTGTTGAGTTTGTCGCTGATGAATTCGTTTTTGAATTTGTACTCGAAATTGGGAGCCGTTTGGAGTGCAGAGAAAATGTTTGAGGAAATGCATGGAAGGGATTTAATCAGTTGGAGCTCGATGATAGGTTGTTATACACGTAATGGGGAGCCGATTAAAGCATTGGAAATTTATCGAAGAATGCCATTGGAACCCAATGAAATTACTGCAATTAGCGTTATTCAAGCGTGCACGCTTGCTCTCGATTTAGAAGAAGGAAAGAAAATCCATAAGCTTGCAGTACAAAAAGGCTTTGAATTGGATACTGCAGTCTCAACTTCTCTCATCGATATGTACATGAAATGCTCATGTTATACCGAGGCGATGAGTCTCTTTAACAGAATGCCAAAAAAAGATACAGTTTCATTTGCTGCGGTTATCAGCGGATGTGCTCAAAATGGCTATGCCGACGAATCCTTAAAATTTTTCGTTACTATGTTATCAAATGGAGTTGAGCCTGATGCGGTTACAATGGTGAAAGCTCTAACGTCATGCTCACAATTAGGTGTTCTTCGTCAAGCTCGTTGCTTTCACAATTACTCAATCATAAGCGGTTTCGAGAATAAACCCTTCATTGGTGCTGCCCTTGTAGATTTGTACTCTAAATGTGGTAGCTTAGATGAAGCTGTTAAACTATTTGATATCATCAATGAGAAAGATGTAGTGGTATGGAGCTCAATGATCGCTGGATATGGCATTCATGGGCTCGGTATCAAAGCCATTGAAACCTTCAATCATATGATTCAGTCTTCAGTGAATCCTAATAATGTAACATTTGTATCAGTCTTATCAGCCTGTAGTCATTCTGGTTTAGTTTCCCAAGGGAAAAGGATATTTGATAGTATGAGCAAATATTTTGGATTGAGTCCTGTTTCAGAGCATTATGCAATAATGGTTGATCTCCTTGGTCGCAATGGAGAGCTTAGCGAAGCAATGGAGCTCGTTGAGAAAGCTTTGGGCTCGATAAGGCCTCATGTATTGTGTGCATTGCTTGCTGGGTGTAGGGTACATGAAAATGTCGAGATGGGGAAGTCGGTAGGGAGAATTTTGCTCGATATGGAGCCTAAACATGCTGGGTATTATAATTTGTTGAGTAATTTGTATGCATTTGATGGGATGTGGAGTGATGCTGCAGAGGTTAGAGGCTTGATGAAGGAGAGAGGGTTGAGGAAAAATCCTGGGTATAGCTTGATTGAGGTTGGTAATGAGGTGCATAGTTTTTTGGCAGGGGAGGGAGTGCATAGAGCGTGGGAGGGGATTTGCGAGATTTTGAAGAGGTTGGAGATGAGAATGAGAGGGGAAGCTTGTGTTGGTGATCATGTGAAGATTGAGGATGTTCAGTGGGAATTGTGAAATTATTCACTGACAAAATCTTTTTTTTCCCCTAATGGAAACGGTTGTGCTTTTATTAATTTTGTAAATCAAACAAAACATAATCAACAAAAAAAGTCTTTGCAGTAGGCTACCATGTTGAGAAATAAGTGACGTGGAATATCTCATTAGTATGGTTCCCCATAATTGTTGGAAAGCCCCTCATAGGAAATTTCCTAGACAACTCATCTCCATCTTCTTTATAAGAAACGATGACTGAACAGGGATCCACGTTCTAAGTTCTCTGGACAAACTTGGTACTTGGTAGCATCTAACACATAGCCAAAACAAATTAACGTTCACAAATCTCTTTTAAAACATATGAGAATAGAGAGAATCAGTCACAGGATAAATACACAATAGGTCATACACAGGCAAACTTTCAATTATTATATACAGCGATGAGCAGCGAAATTTTACTTGTTAACATCGAAAAGACATCAAACTCAAAATAACAAACAATTTACCCATCAACCAACATCACCACTCTAAAACAAATCCAAGTTAAAAACCCTAATAACCCACTTTTAGTTGACATATTGGCACTTAAACCTTTGCTAACAGTACATTAATGGCCAGTGTTAGACATATAAGTATGTTCAATGTTGTTATTTATAAAGATTAGCATTTGTAATTTTTGTTTCACCCAATAACATCAGGATCACACAAGGATTCGAATAGATGAAGATAAAAATAAGTTGCATTAATCTATAACCTTTATTTCGAAAAAGCAAAAAGAGACATTACAAACTAAATGATATCCTGTTAAACTAATTCAAAAGAAGAAAACAAAAAGAGTCCAATGGCAAACATTAATACTAAGATAACCAAAAGCATTGCCAAGACTGCGACGCCAACTGTAATAGCAAGTGTTTACTATATATTGAGACATTGTTAGTATCAATAGTTGCACAAGAGGAGAAATCGGTCTCCGCGTGCACGTTGTTGCCCCCACGATGGTGGTGGAGTTGAGACTGGCGGTGGAGAAAGTTGAGCAGGTGGTACTTGAGCGAAAGTAAAATATTCTAAATATATGGTATGTTGAAGTAGTTGTTAACCGTGACTTTAGGTACTGGATTCTTAGATGGTGATGGCGATGAGGCCGGTGATGGAGCAGGTGTCGTTGAAGGGGATGGTTTTGGAACCAGTGTTGAAGGAGATGGTGACTTTGAAGGTGACAGTGTATAGGAGGCATGTTTTCCGCTCAAATCGGGAGGATGAGGACATTGTACGTTTCTATTTAGGTGGGATCTTGACAATGTGCCGATAGAGATAGATTGGTATCTCCGTGGACTATATGACGAGATGGAAGGTATTGACCCGCCCCTTTGTGAAGTTCATGCCTTGAAGGAAGAGTAACTCGATCTCAAGCGATGAAGGTCAAATGTTGTTCTTTTTCCCACTTTGGTTTGTTTGCAAACCCTCTTGTAGGAAGAAGATAACTCCAGCTATGGGAGAAGTCGCTCTCGGATATACTATAAAACTCTATGAGAGGATAGAACTCCTTTTGAGGTGGGGTGGTAGTAAGTATTGGGTAGCAACCCTAACGAGCAAAACCTCGACATAGAGGTGATAAGCCAATGAGAAAACCCCAGTGAAGATGAGGAATGTGATTCAAATGACTAAAGAAAACCCAATGAGCTCTATGGAGGAGGAGGAACCCTACTGGAGCAGAGGAGAGCTTAATCCTCAGGCAAGAAGGCTTAGATAAAAGTTAGGAGACTTTAGAGCTTTGGCAAAAATTTGGAGCGCCTTCGGTTGTAGGCTAAGGATCTCTATTTATAAAGGCCCTTCTTTACATAGTGAGGTTAGGCGGTTTAAGCGCCACTAGGTTTATACGAGCTACTATGGTAACTTTTTAGTGTACGGGCACCGAATGAATAGCGATGAGGCGTTCTTTTAAACAATTCTTACAGATTTTTTCATTGCGTGCTGTTAGTAATGCCGCGTAAACGCACTCATTTGTTGCTTTTTGTAGCCCCACATAAAATTTGTGTAGAGATTTTGTCTTGTAGCACTCTGATGCCTCTACTTTGCTATAGTTTTGTTTGCCAGTTTGGCTGTCAGTTCAGCAGAAAGTTTACTCGTCATTAGTTTTACACAAGCTTAGCACCACGTGACTTTAGCTCCACGCGTTCTTAACTTTGTGTGACCTTAGGACCATATGTTCTTAACTCTGCGTAAACATGCCTTGGTCTACTTCGGGTAGTTACAATCTGATTTTCACTCCGTTTACATCCAGGGTTTTGTAACTTTGCGTACTTAGCTCCTTTTGGTTCCATATCATCATGTTGAACTATTCGGTCACTTTAGAATCACCATTATACACAACCCAGCCTCATTATGGCTTCCTACAGTGCTTGATTGACGATTTGATATTTTTATTCGTTTACAAGGCATCATCGTCGACATCGCACCCTCGACGATGATGTCGGCGATGGCACCTTAGATGGGGGATAGAGTTGGAGGTGGCTACAACGAGGGGGGTGGTGATAGGGATGGAGTTGGAGGAGGCATCGACAATGGCGATGACACGTAGATAGTGATGGTGAAGGCGAAGTAGTTGGAGGTGGCTTCAACAACTGCGATGGCAATTGCAATGGAGTGGGATGCAACATCGACAAAAGAGATGTCGCCGACAATGGTGATGGCGCCAACGAGGGTGATGAGGATGGAGTCAATGGTGGCGCTTATGGTGATGACAACAGTGACTAGAATGGAGTAGTTCGGGTAGGGGACGGTGCGACAGACAATGACTGAGTTGGTGACGTCCTCCAGCATGGATTGGTTTCGTGATGATGGTGGTGGTTTTGGACGTGGTTGTGGGTATGATAGGGGTGACGACTTTTCTTTAATATGTTATCAAGTATTAAAAAACTAGAGGTACTTCTAATAGAGAGAAGAATTAGGAGCAAAGAAACCTCAAGAATATCAAAGGAGGAGGCCATTGTTTCAAAAGCAAGATTGTTTAATGGGAAAAATGTGTCAAGACCCCAAAAGTAGTAACCCCATGTGACCAGACCCCCACTTATTTCCCCTGTGCGGATCAGCCCCAAAAAGTACTGTTTAATGTGTCAAGGCCCATCCACGTCAGCAGTATACAAAAAAGATATTGTATTTTGGAAAAAACCTGAAATCGCCCTTCTCCTTTTTCCCCAGACGCCTCATCCCCAAAAGAATGTAAAGTCACGTCCCATTAATGCGATCTGACGGAAGAAATGGAGGGAAATTTCCCCCCTTTTTTTACTCTATCATGAGCAATAACTAGTTAGTTGTCCATTACTCTTCCTCAGACCAAAATTCTCTCAATTACTCTTTCTATTACTCCTCTTTATCCTTAAATTTGATCCATTACTCTTACATTCCCTTCATAATGATTGAGAAGGCTAACATCTGTATTGTCTCTTTGGGTGATAAAACAGTATTCTTGAAGATTAACTCTTCAAGCACCATGTTGGATCTCTAATTTGATGTGTCAGAGAGATTAGATCTTCCATATGATGTATTAACTTTGTCATACAAAGATGAAACAAACGGAAGCTTCAAATTTCCTATTGAGAACGAAAATGATCTGTCGTCTAAGGTGGAGCATTACCACAATATTGGGACACCCCTAGGTTCACACAAGGTTGCAGTCCGAGGTAAAACCAGGAATGTCAAATCTGTCATGCACCATACCGTGCAATAACATGTTTCATCATCACAATTACTATCTCTCCAGTAGAGTCAACAACAGGTAAAGGTACAAAAGCAAGTAAAGGATAATACAAGAGATATATGATGAAATAATAGAGATAAAAATGATATTTCATCATCCAACATACAAAAATATAAAGTGAATCTCTGAAATAACTAGTCTGGAGATATCAACAAGTCTCAAATACAGAATATCTGATAAAAGGAAATAAGGCACACAACCTTTACAACTTCTAGAACATAACTCTTAAATGTCTAAACAAAATATCTACTGTGGAGCTCCATAAATAAAATAAAACTACAAATAAAAGATGGACGCTAATTAGTATCGCTATCAACCTGCGACTCTCCGTAAACCTGGCTCGTTACTTGAAATGGGAAGGGACAACGAGCGTCAAAGCGCTAGCGAGCAACATCACAACCAACCCCAAGGGAGAAGGCTCGTTGCATATAGAAAATACAGTTAGTACATATATACATAAAATCATTGATCCTAACAATAAGAGGATTTTAGTATTTAGGAAATTATAACACGAGCATAGGTATGTCGAGCGAAATAATCCAAACAGGAAAACCCTCATGTATATACCTTGTATCTCAAATTGTAAATCCCTAAATACCAAACCCAAGATCTAATACAGGAACAATAATATAAAGAAGACTAACCCATCTCAGAACTCAAATTCCATGTCATGTTAAAACCCACATAAGTGTCATGTCCAGCCTATGTAAGTGTAATTGTCATACTCAAGGTTTAAACAGGTGTCCAACACATGAACTAAGACTAGGTGTAGTGGATACCCAACACATGGACTGTATATATAAATTGTCCAACACATGGACTAAATGATGAATGTCCAACACATGGACTGAATATAATGAATGTCCAACATATGGACTGAATATGATGAATGTCCAACACATACACTACACATAATAGTTGCCCAACACATGGACTGAATGAAATGTGTAGAATATCGATGAGATATATGAAAAGGATGCATATACACTAAATTCATACGTGTCTCGGTGTGCAAATCTAAACTTATGTCCGCAAGCCATCTCACATATGAAGATACATAATAAACAATAATTTCTAACACCAAATATTTGAGGCGACTCCTCGTTCACATTAAAGCATACAGCAAAAGTAAACATGCACAAACTGTGCCGGCGATCAACCGAAACAGGTAGAAACCCTTCACAGATTTCTGTTTGCTTCGAAACAAATTTAGAAGTGACATTATTATTTTCCAAGCATAATATTACTGATATCAACATATATGAAATAACATGAAACGAAATATTAGCATGTAAATATATCGTCAAAACCTTAAACATTTAT